AAAAGTGTTTCAACTCGTTGCGATTTCTTCCGGTGGGCTGACAGTCCCTCATATCACACTGCCAGTAGTTATGGGAATCCGATGTTTTCCCAGGTTGATAGTGCAGATGATGACAGACGTAGCCAAAGTTTGAAATTAAATATTTTAATTTTTCTCATTGTAGTTGTACTTGTCTTTGTCCTTTTTTATTTATTCTGGTACTCACGAGAGTGTGAGAACTGTATGTCATCTTTTGGAACTGATCTGTGATGATTGTATGCTTCTGCACTATATGCTTCTGTACTACCAATAAGATATTCTGATAAGCTGCCCCAAACAGTTTTATCAGACATGGGTAGGAATGTCATTTAACCACCAATAAACTAATCTGAATAAACTGCCTCAAACAACAAGCCAGATTATTCTGATAATCTGCAGATTATCAGATTATCAGAATAATCTGCCAATCAACAGATTATAAATAATCAACAGCTGCGCCAAACAGACCCTAAATCAATAAAAATTAAATGTAGATTCTCCTTATTATCTCTGAACTTCTCCATCAATCATCTCCATAAATGTATAGCTTCCTTAATAAACCTGCCCGACATAAATCAAAATTGATTACGAGAAATCTTTGTAATACGTCTTAACCTATGTTCAATTACCCACTCCCATAATTTTAAAGTATGCCACGTCAACTTAATTCCTCTATAATTTGCACTCTTGTGCATCCTTTTTTTTAAAAAAAATGAGACCAAAATACTCTTCCTCCACTATTCAGGCATCTTTTTAGTTTATAAAATAATATTAAAGAGTATAGTAAGGCAAGAAATTTCCAAATCTCTTAAATATTTCCACACTTCAATTTGGATATCATCAGGTCCTACAGACTTTCTACCATTGGTTTTCTTTAAATCCTCCTCAACTTCTTGCGGATGATAAATTACTTCTTTTGAGTTTTCATCGAAAAATACTTCGTTGAACTTTAATAAATTTTGATGTACAGTCGTTCAGAAGAGGAGCATTTACAATATATGCGATAAGTTGTTGGTGTTCTTAGGATGGAGCACTTGTGTGGTCACTTGTAGAAGTCTCATTTTCTTATACCACAAATATTCTTTTTTGGATGCGTTTTTTCAGTTATCGACATAGAGATAAACCCCATAGAAATTAGAGCTATTGTTGACTAGCCCAACTCATAATCTTTCAGTCATGTACGCCAATTTCATGGGTTCACTTCCTTTCGTAGGAGATTTATAAAAATGTCAGCTCTATTACGACACCCTTGATGGATCTCTTCAAGGTAGGCAAATTTGTTTGGTCAGAGGAGACATACTTGTTTTGACACTCTGAATAAACAAGTTACTCAAGCCCTTATTCTAACCCTTCCAAATTTTAACGAAGTATTTTGAGGTGTAGTGTGATGCCTCCAGTGTGAGGATTGAAGTTGTATTGAGCTGAGGAGGACACCCTATTGCTTTTTTCAGTAATAAGTTGAATACGTTTAGAAGAAAGTTTTTTACCTATGTTAAGAAGTTCTATGCTATAGTGAGACCCTTTAGCTATTGGAGTCATTACTTACTGGAGAGCGAGTTTACACTCTGTACTGATCATGAGGCATTGAGATTTCTGAATAGCGACAACAAGCTAAAGGGCTGACAGGATATGTGGGTGGAATTTTTATCATTATTTTATTTTGTGCTCAAACATAAGATAACAAGCCAAAATAAAATTGCTGATACACTAAGTTGTTGTCACTTATTGATCAATATCATGCAGTCGAAGGTAATAAGATTTTAACTGTTTCCATTGATGAAGATTTCTAGGAGATTTGGGCTCGTTGTCAGGACATATTGTATGAACAATTTCTTAGATCATATGACTACTTATTCTATGAGAACAAATTTTATATTCTTGAAAGCTCACCTAGAGAAGTAATCTTATAGGAATGTCACAGTGGATGCATAACATGACACTTTGGCAGGGATACAACTTCTTCTCAGTGAAAGAGAATTTCTATTAGCCTAGAATGTTAGTGGATGTTGAGCGGCATGTTAGGCAGCATAATGTCACTTGACTAAGACTCAAGGACATAATACATGTCTTTACACTCACCTACCCATTTCAGAGACACTTTGGTTAGATGTGAGCATATATATTATAGTGTGCATGCCCCAAACACAACAAAATAATGATTCTATTATAATAATAGCAAACAATTTCTCCAAAATGACACGTTTTGTTCCGTACCACAAGACGATGGACGACATCGCATATTGTAGACTTATTGTTTACGAAGATAGTCTATTTTCATGGATGCCCAGAATCATCACTTCAGATAGATATGTGAAATTTCTAAGCCATTTTTGGAAGATCTTTTGGGGTAGGTTTGGCATATAACTTCAGTTCAACTCAACAACTCCCCCACATATAGATGAATACATGGAGGTCATAAATCACAGTTTGGAAAATCTTCTCATATGTTTTGTGGGAAGAAGATCAAAAAAGATTTGGTGCTTCCTCAAATTGAGTTTGCCAACAACTAATCTACTAGTTCGTCCACTGGTCGCAACCCCTTTGAGATTGTGTACATACAGAATCCTCACACCTTTGGAGTCAGTGCTGATAGTGCTAGTTATTGAGATTAGCATCTATGCAACGGCTAGATTCAAGGAAAGAATGATTTCCTCCACGTTTTTTGGAAAAATCAAGCCTATAAGAGATAGTCCATTTAGGATTATCGAGAAGATAAATAACAATGCATACATTATCAATTTGTCAGGAGACTATACTATTTTTGCTACCTTGACGTTCTTATTCTTTCATTGTACTATGAGATTTGGATTATTCCAGCAAAGAAGTTAATGCCTCTTCTACATGAGGAGAGTGATGTGGGAGTTGTGTCTTGCGATCCCACTAGATACAGGATCAAAGCAGGATGGGATCCTATCCCCTGAAGCGGGATTTTCCCGCCCCTTTTAACTGCTTTAGCCTTGTGGGGCCCTTTTACTTCTATTTTAATATTAGTCTAATTAGAATTAGGGTTTAATTTATGCTTTGGTATAAATATGCTATTTAGAAGCTGATTTTGCAGACCTTTGCTTTAGTTTTGTGTATTTTGGATATTTTATTTTATGATTTTCTATGCTAAGGAGTATTGTATTCGCTTTCTTTTGCATGTGGTGTATTTGTAGTTTGCTCAGAAATAGGTGATGGATCTCCCTCAGTAATCATGCCTCGTTAAAGTTGTCGTTTGGTGGTTCTCTCCTCTGTTTTCAGCCCGGACAGCCGCCAAATGCTTTCTATCCCTTTCAAACGCCATCAACCTCACATGATCTCATTTCCTTGCTATTCGAAACCATCTCCTCGCTCATTCCATCTCTTGAACACCTTCTAGAAACTCTAGAATGGTGTCAGATTTGACCCTTGACCTCTGAAATAGGGGGCATGGTTGAATACGGCTTGATCACTTTTTTCATGTTAATCATTACATTGTGGACAAAAAACAAAAAATAAATAAAAAAACTAATTACTACTTGATAACTTAAAAAGTACAGAAGTATGTTAAAAAGATGATTTTTCTTTTGCTTGTTTCTACTTGATGCTTCTAACATTTTATAAAGCTTTTTCCCTTGTCTCCATTTTCTTGCTTCGGAAAGTAGCTTTCACTTGTTACGCTGACCTGTCTCGTTCTATATCACCTCTATCTATTAAAGCTCATTTAGTAAATTTTCTACTTAAACTTTAGATTCGGTGTTTTTATCTTTGTATCCCGTAGTTTTTTAATAGCTTTTTTAAACTTGTTCACTACATAGTCCACCACATCTAGCTCATCCATGCACTTTTCCAGTAATTATTTCCTTAGCAATGACCTTAGCCCTTACCTGTAGGTCTTGTGTAGGAATATGATGTAATTCTCCATATGGGCTAAAATCTTGCCTTTTTGAATCCTCACTGGAATCTCTGAACTCAGACTTTTCTTCTCTTTTTGGGCTCAGATCTATGCTTGCTGTAGTGTGGGTCTTGGTGTTTTCTCTTGGCAAAATTACATACAGTACTTGCAGCCTATAACATCACATCAAACGTACTTCTGTTTATAACTTGATCATTAATTATAACTCAAAGTGTGTTATTTAGAATTAAAATTGTTGGTTTATTTAAAAACACTAAAAACGCTTGCAAGTTTCTGGAGAACTCAGATCATGACTCAAAACTACACAAAGAGGTCCAAAGATTGTCAAGAAATATGTTAATTGAGCTCTATTAAATGAGCTCTGCCTGAACAATTCCTGCCGTGCTGACCCGAACTGGCCTAACCTAGTTTAGGCCAACTTTGTCCTTTCCTTTCATATCGATATACTATATAAAGGAAAACATATGCAAGTGAAAATGAAACAGCGGATGGTTTATGAGAATGCTTCATTTTGAAATGTCACTCACAAACCTTTGAGGTTTAAAATTTGGAAAATATTTCATCCATTCATTAGTAATATAAAGAGGGATTTACATACGTACCATATAATTCTGAACTCTAACAGCTAAACATTTATATTTTTATTAACACCCTAATATTTAAATCGTATAAAAAATACTAGTAACTTTAGCTTACTATCAAAAAGAAAACTTGTGGGTTTCTCAACCCTCTTATCGACTTGTCATACTTGACCATCTCTCACAATTATTAATTTGCCTGTGAAAAGTCCATAGATTGGATGCCAAGCTTCCATTTCTTAGTCTTTGGGCGTCCATGATAGACTACTGGCTAAGAACTAGCTATCTTCAAAATTGCACTAGGCTTAATTTTGCTTCTGACATGCATGAACATTTCTTCCAAGTAGTTTTCTTGTATTATGTAACTATTATAAATTGTAATATGATTTTGTATCTTCAAAGATTAATTCTTTCAATATTATGGCTGTTCTTTTGGTCTAAATTGATTTAGTAGGTGTTGTTGTTTTTACTTTCCTTTATTTATTTTTTTCTTCTCTTGCTCTCATTTATTTTGCTAACTTACCCAGATACTGAAGGACATTGAGCAAGACCTTTCAAGATTTAAATGCGGTTTTGCTCATTTATTCTGTAAGTGAGATTGGTTGTATTTTGTCTTATTGTTGGATATAGTCATCACGAGCATATGGTAAATGATATTGTAAAATACAGTGCAACATACAAGTGCTTCTTTGACCATAAATGAGAATTATGACTCAGATGTACAGGCTGACACTGAAACCTTCCTTAGCCGTATAGTTCCAGAGGTGATTTAATTTCTTTCTATGTATTTTGCAATATCAATTTTTTTACATGTTTCATGGAAATATGTCCATTTGATAAGCGTGACTTAAAGTTCTCATATGTTCACAGGGGCGAACTGCACCGTGGAAGCACACGTTGGAAGGTTAGAATTTGACTTCATCTTATTAATGTACCTTCTCCCAACATTCATCATTATCTTTCTAAGGACTGAACATACTTCTGTGGCATTCGATCATTCATACTAGAATCAGAATATTTCATGAAATAGATGTAGATTGGAAAATAAACCTAGGAATGCCTAAATTGTAGTCTGCGTTAAGTTTTTTTTTTATGCCCATTGATATATTGTAATGGAGCATCCACGAAGGTCTCTTTATGCAGGTAGTTAGGATGTGATAATTACAACAGTGTCAAGTTGCAAATGTGATAACAAAAAATTACTGGGAAGAAAGTGCTTCATTCCGGTTTTCATAATTTGCTTTGAAGCATAAATTAGTTAAATGGCACCCGAGCCTATTTGTCAGCCAGAGGACCTGAAGTTCTCTTTTCTAAAAATAGTACTGGTATTAAAATTTTCGGGAGCCCCATGGAAAAATAAAATTATGACACACTAAGTCTAATATTAACAAAGTAGCTTGATACTACATGCTAAAAATTTCTTATTTGAATCAAATAAAATTCAAGAGAGTTTTGTAGTGTTTCATTACAGAAATAGTTATAAAAAATTGAAACAAATGGTAATTATAATGTCTTTATATTAAGATTCTTTTGAATATATATTTTCAAAATACACATTGTTTGATATTGGTGTTAACCCAAAACTCAATAGGGGAAGGAAGTTTTATTACGCAAAAATTAAATGGGATTACAATAAATAGGAAAAACATGATACACAAATACCTCGCTAGGGTGAGGTGAGAAGGTGGCAGTTGCTAGGGAAGTAGGGGTTGGAGGGCTGTCCGGGGGCGGGACAGCGGGCTGAGCAGCGGTAAGGGGTCTTGAGAAGGGTGGTGGCAAGCTGGGAGGGTGTAGGAAGGGGCGACGACAACAAGGAAGGTGCGGAGAGGGGCGACGACAAGAGGTGTAGGGAGGGTGCCGACAAGCAAGCTAGGGTAACAGGGAACGAAATATGCGGTGATAATCACCACATCAGAGCAGTATACAAGCCGGAGCACTACCTGCCCTTTAATACAACCTTAGCAAGACAAAAAATTGAAGAAAAAATGAAACCCTAATCAAAGAAAATAACATATATATATATATATA